AACTAATAAAAGTGTTAGTGATTAGTACAGTAGGAAGAACCACCCTCTGAAAACAGTCTGAGAAATTTCTTATGTAGCTTTTTTGCTCATGACCTGGATTTTTAAAGTGCAACAAAGGCTGTTTTATCATTTACTAATCATTAGATACCTTTAATTCAAACCACCTGGTTAAATCAAAATGATCTAGTCCATCTGTGTGTGACCTTTGAGTAATTGTGCTTTGATACTGCTCCTCCAGGCCATTTCAAGACTATGTGAAGACAAGTACAAGGACCTCAGTCGAGCCGCAATGAGGCGATCTCTCAGCGCAGACAACCTGATAGGTATACGACGCTCCAATGCTGTGCTCTCATAGACTGCTGCCCTCTGACCTCCAAAGTTCAGCTAACCCACAGCCAGCCCCAGAAAGCATTACCCACAGAGTTATCAGGCAAGGACAAAAACGCCACTGTATGACCTGTCCACACGGTAATTTACATTACAGCTGTAGACGTGCGTGATTGTTAAATTAAAGGTGTTTACCTTATCTGAAGCATTATCATATGACTGTTGTTTTTACAAGTCATTTATTTATTTGTTATGTCTATCACTTCTGAGAGAACACATTGAACATGAATGATTGAGTTCATCATCTGTCTGAAATACACTTTAGTTTCTATTTTTTTTTTTCTACAAAAGTGTTTGAATTACATCATGCAGCCTTAAAGGATGAAGAGTGTGGTGAGTTATATTTGTTGTTACTGTCACCGTATTCCACGAAAGACCAAAACCAGCAAATGTTAGATTGTTCAGATGTGGCAAATTGTTTTGTTTTTTTTGTTAATGAAGATTGAAATCATGCTTGAGTGCTATAGCATAGTGAAGTTAAAGTTGGTTGGTCATTTCCTGGGATTCCTTAACAGTATATAAATATAAACTTTCACCAAATGTATCCTTTTTTTCCTTTAGCCACAAAAAAAAAATGCAAAATGATCTTTGTTGTAAATTAGATTTAATACCAGAAGTTACTGTGGCGACTGTAACTCAGACATGTTTACTGTCGATATGTTTCGAGTACATTTTTCTGTCCATCAGGATTGAACATCCACCATGTCTCATATTACAAGACACTGAGCTGTTATCACTGTGTGGGAGCTGGCTGACGTCTTCTCAGTCAGCTGTTTTGTGACAGGAAAATCAGGAGTGCCATTTGCAATTTGGTGTTAAGTTGTGTATAAACAAGGCTGTTTACTGACTCTGGATCAGTATTTGAAAATTAATGGCTCCATATGGAAGTTGGGTATATGCAGGTCAGCCTCAGTATTAAGTTCCTTAGATCCTCATCCCCCCCACCCCCCCATCAGATCACCAGTGTTGTTCTTGTCCAAGGACCCATCCAGGCTAAGGTTTGGAACACACTACACAGATACTGAGGGGGAAAACAAACTGATGGATGCTCCCCTTCTCTTTTGCTTACTATGTAGGCTTCTAGCTGTGAAGTTTGTCTTGTTTTTAATTGAGAAAAAAAAACATTTGCAGATGGAGTATTTTAAATAAACACTAATCATGTAACAAATGTGGTTTATTGTCTTTTATGTTGTGTCTTTACAATCAGCTAAGTTCTAAAC